TTTGTATTTGAGGTTAATTGCGGTGGGGGGGATCACAATTATGATATCCATTTCCCATCTTTGCAGAGCGCTACATGGCATGAGAGCCGTGTAGAGCTCTGCAAAGGCTGAAACTCGGAGGAAGAGTGATTCACTCCTCCCAAGCTCAGGCTTAGCATAACTGGATGACCACAGTATCCTACGCTAGCGCTTGTACTAAAAATGAATGCCATATCAATAATCAGGACAGCGAATAAGCCTAGTATTCAAGTTCCCATCAATTTGGGTGGAAGAGGTGATAGCACCACACTGGCCCTCATTGGCGCCAGTTGGCGCGGCATCTATAATGAATATTCGGGCACTATTTACCCTTTACTGCCCCAATCATCCAAACTTAGGCCAGTTCCGGACCGAATTTCTTCTCCACGGCCAGGACCGGCTAAAAGTTGTCCTCTGGGATAGTCTGACCTAATGAACACGGATATCCCATCCGCTCGCACGGGACCTCCCAGCGCCCGCGCCACAGACGCCGGCGCCAAAATACTCGAAGTGACCATATTCACAATACTTGACCTTGAGGGTAGGCTGACCTCCCAAGCACAGATGTCACATCTGTATAGGCGTTGAGAATGTTCAAAATTGGATAGAAGGGGGACACGTTATAGCGAGCGCAACCTGCTACTGCTCATCTACCCCCTTGCCCCAAGATAGTGATCCCTTTCTCTGTTGAGGCTGAGCCTTAGTGAAGGGAAGGATCACTTTTACAGGCAACAGGAAGAGTGCTGCCGCGCCGCAGTCGAAATAAGCTTGGTATGAGTCGCTTTTGACGTATGCGTTGGGCGGATTCAACGCGAATGAATATGATATTCGTGTTCAGGAGGTCAAACTACCGTAGTAGACAACTTCTGAGCCAATGTCCACCGAGAAAAAAGTCTATCAAAAACTGCCTGATTGTGGACGACTGGGGCAGTAAAGGGGTAAAGCCTATGCAACTTTGTCTAAACTTCGGTAAAAAGTAGTGGTGCCGTATTGACGCCGGCACCAGTCTGGCGTCTAGTGGCACCAGCGCCAAGAATGACAGTTATATTCGTAATCATGACGTCAAGTAACCCCACCCGCGGAAGTTTATACAGATTTTGATGAAAGAAGTGGTGGCGCCAAATCAGCGCTAAATGGCGTCAAACAGCGCTGGCGCCAGAAATGGATGTCATATTCGTGATCAGGGGATTGACTAACCCCAACGGGAAATTTTTCAGCAGAAGTTTTTTCTTGAAAAGATTTTGGGCCTAGGTGCTGCTAGTTGAATCGTGCCTGGGACCCTTATATCTGAAGATCTCGTTGGTCCACTATTTGCATAAATTAACAAAGGTATGAAGAGTTGTTCCACTGGGAAAGTTCCCTAGGAGAACTGGGACTGTTTCAAAATTTCATGCAAAGTCCGTCCGCCACCATGGTGGACACGCTCATAAGTGGACATTTCCGTGTCCAGGACCAGTGGCGGACATTGTCACGAATGGGTTTAACCCAGCAGTGATGCAACTGATCTGGTGTAAAAGCTGTAAAAGCTCGGTCGTGCACTGCTTACCGTAGCCCTATTTTCATGCACAGTTTTCGGAAGCTATTTCTATTCCAGTCGGATGATCCTCCTTATGCGTGTGAAGTGGGTCCCCGGCCATCCAAACTGAGGCCCAGTCGGATCGCCGCCGCGGGCGATCCTCCTTATGCGTGTGAAGTGGGTCCCCGGCCATCCAAACTGAGGGCCAGTCGGATCGCCCGCCTTCGGCGGGCGATCCTCCTTATGCGTGTGAAGTGGGTCCCCGGCCATCCAAACTGAGGCCCAGTCGGATCGCCGCCTTCGGCGGGCGATCCTCCTTATGCGTGTGAAGTGGGTCCCCGGCCATCCAAACTGAGGGCCAGTCGGATCGCCCGCCTTCGGCGGGCGATCCTCCTTATGCGTGTGAAGTGGGTCCCCGGCCATCCAAACTGAGGGCCCAGTCGGATCGCCCGCCTTCGGCGGGCGATCCTCCTTATGCGTGTGAAGTGGGTCCCCGGCCATCCAAACTGAGGCCCAGTCGGATCGCCCGCCTTCGGGCGATCCTCCTTATGCGTGTGAAGTGGGTCCCCGGCCATCCAAACTGAGGCCCAGTCGGATCGCCCGCCTTCGGCGGGCGATCCTCCTTATGCGTGTGAAGTGGGTCCCCGGCCATCCAAACTGAGGCCCAGTCGGATCGCCCGCCTTCGGCGGGCGATCCTCCTTATGCGTGTGAAGTGGGTCCCCGGCCATCCAAACTGAGGGCCAGTCGGATCGCCCGCCTTCGGCGGGCGATCCTCCTTATGCGTGTGAAGTGGGTCCCCGGCCATCCAAACTGAGGGCCAGTCGGATCGCCCGCCTTCGGCGGGCGATCCTCCTTATGCGTGTGAAGTGGGTCCCCGGCCATCCAAACTGAGGGCCAGTCGGATCGCCCGCCTTCGGCGGGCGATCCTCCTTATGCGTGTGAAGTGGGTCCCCGGCCACCAACGCGATAAAGGAGAAGCGCCTTCGCTACAGAAAATTTTTTTTTGCAATTCCAGAACATTACCGTTTCACATTTGGTATATACCCCCCCTAGCGGACGGTTGTGAAATTTTCGTAAAGGCGAGGGATGGAATGGCGGTAGTGGATGAACTGAAGTGGAAGTATATGGGTATTTGAGTTGGTGTAGAATGAATAGCAGGTAAATAAACAAATAAATACATGTTAAAAATTGGTAGTAGGTTATGAATTTTCGATTATGCCCTCACATTCACTGCTACTCTCATTTGCCTTGCGACTATATTATGAACTTTTGCAGCAGGCGTCGCCGACTCGGCGCACATCTCATTCGCTGGGGTGTCTCTTCACTTATGTTACCCCTCCCTCGCCCAACCCCCTTCCATAGAATGCAGCCCACATGAATTTTCTGTAACAAAATGCGAGTCGATCACAGAGCGGGTTCGTTCGAACACTGCTCGCAAAAATGCTTTAAGTTCTAGCGTAGCAACTGCTCATCTGCCAAATGTTGCACAGGGTCAGCATGCTGCATTGCTATACAATAAATAATGCGTGAATCGACGCCCGGGGTATTGCTAACACAACCATGTAATACAAGAATACTGCTGGAGAGAGTGATTTTAATTCACCGACGTCCATTTCAAGTATGCCTTCTTCCATTCAACCTCGACCGACTTCTCACTCTTCCCGCCGTTTTCCCGCTGCTCGGGTAGTTCCGGGTTCGAACTTCGAAATTTTACTTGGTCCCCGCCTACCCAGACAAACGCCCGCTTACTGCAATCTGCCGGGCTCTCTCATCCAACGCCCAGGTTTCGGATGACCTCCGGCTTCTGTTTAATCTGCTGCGCACTTTTAGCTGCGAGTTCCGTTTTCCCGCTGCCGAGCAGTTCCGGGTCTGAATTTTGAAGATTTGCGTTAGGCCCCGCCCGCCCGAACAAACGCCCCGCTCACTTCGGGTATGCCCCCACGCCCATTGTGGGTGTAGTCTAACGTGGTGCATAGATAATGATTTTGTCCCCGCTCCCTGTGATCTTCAGGAGGAATTTACGAATTTTTGTCGTTGGCACTACTCACTTCGGCGCACGCCCCCGCCCCCTCTATCGTGTGCGAGGCTTGGTTGTGTGTATTCGTATATTTTCCGACATGCTATTTCAACGGAAGTGCCCTCACCCCCCCCCCATCCCAATGTTGACGGCGTTCAGAGTTTTGTTGACGTTTTCGAGAGACACCGCTCACTTCAGTTAAATATAGGCCCCGCCCATTGTGGGCGGAGCCTATTCTCCTATTGGTCCGTCCGACAAACGGACAGACAACTTCTGCTTTATATATAGGGTATGATGATGCTTTTGTTTTTCGTTTTCTTCTTCTGGGTTTAATCAGCATTTGGTACTCGAAGATTCAGTGAAGCTATCTGCGAGCCAGGCGCTGCACGGATGTAGCAAGGTGTGGATATGCCAACAACTCTGGAGAACTCGTATCCAGAGGCTGTGTGACTGTCCGGGAGAGGTATTGTTTAGGGTGTTCTCAAGGCTTTTTTCCTTCCCTACTTCGAAGTCTCTTATCGGCTACAGGTTCACAACTGAATACCCATGACCCGTAATACTTGATCGCGGGAATTCTCTTTGAAAAGACTCAAAGGATGCCCTCTCACAGTTTATACCTATCGTTGTTTTATGCTCTGATAGGCAGTGAATGAAACGAACTTTCCGAACTGAGCAGAAAATGCCACCAAGAGAAAAGAGAGCAGTTTGCAATTTTTGGTCAGTGTCATGATAGCCTGCATTTTTAAAGTGGGAGGGGACCCCGTGGTGAGTGAGCCATATCTTAACTCCCAATTTCTCGCCAGCAAGTACTGGTACGTGTTTCACCCACACCTTCATTCCCTTCTATGAAAGGACATTTGTCCACAGCGGAGCCTCAGTCTTCCTCCCCTCCTTCTTCCTACCTTCCTTCTTTACTTCTACTTCCTTCTTTCCTTCTCTTGAAGAATCTAGCAAGCAATGCAACGACCTCCAGACTCAGAGCATCGTAGTGCTGACTTCAAGTTACAGATAGGGCACGTCGTACTTTCCGGATTTCCACACAGTGGGGTCATATTTGGTCGCTGGAGGAAGGAAAGGGTCGTCATTGCCTTTGAGGAGAATGTTTTTGTTGATTTTTCTCTGTAAGTGTTTACCTAACCCTCACCCTGCAACCTCTTGCAGGCACTTTTTTTGGAGGGATGAAAAACCGCGGTAAGCTCCGGAAAGAATACAGGAAAATGGGAGAACCCGGGAAGATGGTAGGTAGGGTGAGGGTTGGGGAAGGGGGAGTGGGTCGAGTTCACCAGAGGACGTTTTGAGGGGGGGGGGTCGTACTCTGAAAAAGTTTTCCAATGGCCGAACGTGCCCTAATGCAGGTGGCTTCACTCCGAGGCTCATGCACCCCCTCCCACCTCTGGAGAATAGCTTCACAATCACTTACAAATCAGCGCAACTGTAAATCCGAGGCTCTAACTCGTCAATGAAGAATCACCCTTGAAATCAGATCTACACACCTGCCAAGCATCGTCGCCTTTTGTGGTGAGATTCCGGAACAATCCTGGATTCTTTGTACATGCATCGATTACAAACTCTGGTTTTACACCTGAAATAGAAAGCCTGTAACTCATCAGAGCTCGACATCAAGAGTCTTCCAAAACTCACCAATACTTACTAGGGACCGTAGGGGTTGGGCCAGTTGTTGCATAGCCTCGGAATCGGTAACTGGTAGAATGAATGTTGTGCCAACGTTTTCCAGCTCTGATACAATCCGTTTCAACATGCTCGGACCTGGTACTAGATCATCTGGAGCATAATTCGTTTGTTCGCCTACAGGCTGACTCCTATCGGATACCGTAGACAGATTGGCGACACATTGAGTAGAGGGAAGTGTAGGTCGTCTTGGCGGCAACTCCTGGAACACCTGTGCATTTGCGATGAAAATCAAAACCAGTTTCATGGCAGCACAATTTCGTGCTTCAAAATTACAGTGATCAATATTTTGAAAACATCAGTCTACGTGCACATGGAACCATAAGAATTACTGCTACGATTACTGCAAACAGGCCCTGTAGTGACGGACATTCACATATGTTTTGGTGAAGATTGACGATGCTATTAAAGAATTTCAATGTCAATATGTAACTGTGACAAAATCAACTAAACTACCATTTCTGTCGTGGAACAAGCCGGTTTCGCGGACCAACCATGCCGAAAAAACCGTGATGCCGTCGCACACATTGTGTAACTACGTCGCATTCTAAACATGATAGAATGTAAGTGAAAGTAATCAAGAAGAACATGGTCATACTTCATCTACAGCACACCCCTGTGAGAAATATGTACCAAATACCAGTGAATATTGTACCTTCTAGACAGAAAATCAATAGTATTTCAGCTTAAACACTTTATTACCAAATAAAACGTGCAACTGAAGGTGTCGCGAAACGAATGAAGACTATTCTCCAGAAATTCTACTCCCCGAAAATCAATACGTAGAGTACTCGCTTTGGTCCCAGTGATCCCCTCAGTCGAACGCCACCCGGACTACACAAGCCCTTTTTCTGCCCTTTCACCACCGATTACGCGAGGCTAAGCACGTCTAAAAGAAGAAGAAGCTGTGGACTTCGAGAGTGACAAGTCCTCTCAAATCACAGCCGTCAAGCCAAACACGCTTTCAACTATCCCAATATTTTCGATCGAAAGTCAAGTGCATGGTGCGTAGCAAGGCAATTAACCCAGTTGATCATTCCCGCACACTCTTCGATCCTAATGGTGTGAAATGCCAGTGCATAAATCAAGCACCTCTTCTTAGAGAAAGTCTCTAGTTAAGCGAGATCTCTGAGCGACTTACGAGTGCGTTCAAAATCAGCGATCCGATCGCGCGATCTGAACGATTGGGTGGAAGCATGAAGGCACTCTGAGCTAGAGCTCAACGGTTACTTGTACTGTCCTTTGGGGAAAACCTATGCTGATCGTGACCAGTTCAAAGGCAGTTGGCATGATAAACCCCGAAGACGAGACTACTGTGCCTGGCAAGACGGATTCCGCGACCCAAACAGGTGCTGCGTAGCGCTCTTTCCAAGAAAGGTACCTTACAAAGTCCTCCAAGCCACAACATACCGACCCGAACGTTTTCGCGCCTGCCCGCCCACAAATGGACGACCGTACCTGATGCTCGTTTTGCTTCATTTGCCAAGTAGAACATAGAGCGAAGGTATGAAGCGGCGGCGGTGCTGCATGGATATATGAGTACATACGTGCAGCCGTACCTACCGTAGCGGTTATTGGCAAGATGCCTACGGGAAACTCGTCCGAAATTGCTTTTTGAGTCATTAAGAACGAAGGCTTTTCTTCGCAGGTTTTTGACCGTTTCACTTCGTTTTTCGCCATTTCCCACTATATAGCGCCCTGCTAGCATTTTAGGCCGAGTACCAAATTATCGTGCCAACGGCCTTTAATCCTGTATCTGAAATGCACAAGGATGTGAAATGTTCTCCTAGTAGTAGGTCAGAACACCAGTGTTGCGGCATTGCACGCAAACTGGCAGAGTATTTCGCAGCTAGCTAGCTTGTTATATTGCGGCACGTCCACGTTCAGCAGTTAGGTCCTGTTGCGGAAAACGAGCACGTGACATCTCTACGCTCGATTTTCGGCAAGTAACAATTGCTGGAGAATAGCTAGGGTCTATCATAGTAAACAAACATGCCAAGAAATCAGATGAAACAACATCAAAAGTAAGAAAAGCATGACGAAACACTGACAGAAACCGAGATTCACAAACGAAAAAGCAATTATGCAACAGTGATACCTAGAAATCTGATACCGAAGAAAAACCAGAATAAAACTGAGAACAATGTAAAGAAACTCATCAAAGTTCAATGTGAGTACTAATAAATAAGCAATAAGTAAAAGAGCAAGAATCAGTATCACAATCTGCGGAAATGTATTTGATTTTCAAACAAACACTTTGATAATCTCATTCAAGAGGAACCAACACAAATGCGTGAAACTTGAAATCTCATTAATTAGAGGAAAGAAGTAAAATGAAAATATGAACTGAAAATGTGAAAGAAGCTGCTATTATGGACTGACTTTATCACCGTAACACCAATCTCATTTGCGATTTTTTTTCAATAAACACGAAAAATATCATAAGCTAAAGGAACTAGAAACTAAAAGTACAGAAGAACATTTAAGTATCACATGCAAATAGTGGAAAAAAAATACGGAGACTTCCGTGTACGAGTAAAGTTACTTCATTCTCATTTGATACTCGCCATTTTGTGTTATATATCGAACCCATGGTAAAGCTTGATAACCACTCTTCTCTATGATTTTCAAGTAACGTACCTAGGATGTTGTTTATCAAATATCCATAAAAATACTCATAAACATTGCTGAGAAAAAGTTAAAATAACCATGGGGTTGAAACAGCGGATAATTGAATATATGGCGCTGAAACGGTTGGGGGAAGGGGGGGGGGAACCATTCGCCAGCGCCTCCATATCTTTCACTCCAATCATGGCTTAGGCTTAGTGGAGACGACGTCCTGTCTGCAGGACTATCTCTTGACGAGTCTGATTGCCTACGCTTTGAGAGTAATCCTTTCTGGGAACGGACACAGAGCAGCTGGAGAGTGGATCCCACCCCTTCCCCCCCGAAACACGTTAGCGCCGAGAATACTAAATAATTCCACACTTTCGATATGACAACGTTACTTCTCACCCCCGCCCCTCCTGCTGAATAAGGTCCTCTGGTAAAGCAAAGGATCATCGCATTTTCAATGTACTTTACCGTGTAGCTTTACGAAAATCATGACAAAGCACTTGGCATTTGGGGTAAGGTAACAGATGAACCGGACTAAATTCCATGTAGTGGATTATGAAGACAGACCGTTTTGTAGGTAGAAGTCCTTTTCCAGAGCTATTAGTTCCCTTGGGTTGGAAATGAGTTATAGGCCTTAGACAAGAAGCGAAAAACTAGAGCTCAAAGGAAGAAAAGGCGCTCCTATAGTGCGTTGTCGTCGCAGCTCAAAGGCTAAACCAGCGATCACGAATGAAGGGTAATGGAGCTCAAATATGAACGAAAAGGAACTAAGTAACCGAATAGTAAAGAAAAAAAAAGCAGAAAGAAAAAACGTCCATGGGCTACGAAGGACCCCTGCTCATAACAGCTGGAACATGCACGCAGTGAAGAAAAAGCGTGTTTAAAGAATACTCACTTCTAGTTATCATACCGATATATCAGCTCTCTCTCTCTCTCCCTCTCTCTCTCTCTCTCTCTCTCCCTTATCATCTACTCCCACAGTCGGAATGGAGTATGCTACTACAGGAGCTACTAGTTGAAGCCAGTAGCCACTTGGGGTTGGCAAGGGTCTACAGGGTGTCTATAGTCTTATTTGTTCAGCATCCACCGGAATCCTTGCAAATCTTCACTTTCTGAATGTAGTGTAGCCTCCACAATCACCTACAGGATCACCTGACCTAATCGAGAGGTATAGCCTTATTATACTGCGGAACGTGCCTTTAATTTGATATTACTTGCATACACCCAAAATGCTCTGTCATCCCATGCAGAGACATCTACCATCCAATATTAGGGTACTGCTATCACAGTGGGTTTCATAAAAAAGTCTCTAATTTTGTAAATGGAGTCAGCAAAGAAAAGCATGAAATGGTACCTGAATTCCCGATGTTGTGAAATATGGAATCTCGAACTTTCACTTTGATTGGTGGCTTGCCTTCCACTTCCTCTCCCACGACTGATGGCAAGTTGAAATGAGCACTCAACAAATACTCTTTGCCACCTGAATGAATTTTTGTTGAAAGCCCTTCGTAGCAGTTCGCTTTAAAAGCACATGAACAGATAAACAGAATAGATGAAACTATAGGTCCCACCCGGAAAACTCTTGATTGTCCAAACAAATGCGCTTTGCTCTGGCGCATAACGTACTGCTCCGATACTTGTCTTGAACTTCGGCGAATCGGCATCTGATGGTACAGGAATGATGATTTCCACATTGTTTGCTGTAGAACGACGCTTGAACTGTGACTTGGCCTGAAGTGCACTGTGTTGGAACATAATACTTACATCGACAAAGTAAACTGTAACCATTACGTCACCATTCCTACAGTGTTACAATTCAAGAAACCAATAAGCATGAAGCACAGCACAATGAAATACCTTAATCATGAATTCAACACGCGAATGTGAGTGCCTTTCGATGTTGCTCTCAATCCAAATGAGAGGTTTCACAACCGTTGTGAGACGATAACTCATAAGTTCAAAGGCTCCATCGGGTGGAATAAACGAGATTGTTCTATCATTGTCGAATCGCGAAAGACGAACACATTGATGGAATTTGACGTCCTCCAATTCCACTGACTTACTTTTGCCGCCTGAACACGAAGTTCTATCAATGGAATAACCAGCCATTTTAGTTGAATGATATTGACAACTATTACAGAAATTCAACATCAAACAGAAGAAAGAGGAAGACATCTGCAGAACTTGTGAAGTGAAAACAAGGAAGAATTTGAAAAAGGCTTCAGTTAAAAATAACACTTTCCGCGTCGATTGAATTTTTTCGGAATGCGCCACGAATTTCGTTTTCATTGAAAATACTTGTCTGTTTTGAATGCAAAGAGTTGGTTGTAGAAAGGTCGAACAGGAACAAATCCGGGATTCAATCTCGTGAGTATAAGGAATGAAAATCCCGCACGGTTCCCGCCCGGCCATTCCACAAACAACTCTCCGATCTTTATGGAGGAGGTTAATTCGTACCAAATCTGCCTGGAACAATGGGTGGAGCCACTTGCGACGCGCGCGGGCCGAGGTAAATTTGGGCCGGGGCCAGGCTGACTGTCAGATGAAAACAGTGACTTATACAACAGTTGGCCCTCATTCAATTTATAGGACGATCGCATTCAAAAAGTCACCACTGTTTTGAATGGCAGCACAATATGTAGCGCATCCCACAAGGACTTGAATAACCTCCACAGGTTCGCCTAGAATAGGGCTATCTATATTGGGGAAAATATCAAAAAAATATATGCAAACGAGAGGCTTAGGTGGTGTTGCGGCAAGTGGCAGCCTTACCATGCGCATGGTCGAGGCCGAACCAAAAATCGGCTCCCGCTCAGGTAACCAAGTCTTCCACCCTCAAGGGACGGTAAGTTGCTACCACATTCCTCTGGAGGGAAGGTGGAAATAAAAGTACCACTATAACAAAGACTAAAACATATGACTTTTAGAGTTAATTACCTAAGCGGACACGAAAAAAAGAGAAAATATGAGGGAACAGAAGCTCCCAGTTGAAATATAAGCGCACAAGTATTGAGGGCGTCTAGACAAGAACGAAAAAAAAACGAAAATGGCCATTCACCATATAATACGACGCTTATCACCCATTGAAAACGTTTTCTAGTAGTAGATAAAAGTCAACTGTCAAGATTGGTTGCGCTGTGATAAAACGATAGCCAAAACCCACTTGTACTTTACGTTACATCTTCTCACCCGATATTTTGGCACTTGTCTGGGAGCTAAACCGCAATGAGCTCCAGGGTTTCGAGAACTCACCGGTAGAAAATGAATAGTTCTTCGTAGCATCTTGCAAGAGAAGGTTTGCAACACTCACAGCCACTCACACAATGCCAAAGTGCAGTTTAAACAAGTTTGAAGCAGTTCATCGGTCACAGCCAAGTAACTAACTTTTCAGCATGTGTGATTGAAAAACAAGACGTGTGACTGAGACAATTGGTAGTAATGAGTGAGTGGGTGAACGGCACTCAACATAGAACACACACACAAATCACTTAGGGTTTAAAGGATGAAAAACGATACATGGAAGTAAACTCCAAATACTCACGTCCACTCCCCTCGAACAGCACTTTGTCATTGAGACCAAGTCGTAGTTCAGGCATACCCGTCAAATATACTCGCATTTTGACACAACCAACTATCTCGCTTTGCAAAACTGTTCCATTGGCGTTAGCCTACAAAGAGAATGGTAAGAATGAATGAATGCGGCATTTCTACGATATAAATAAAACGCAGAGCGTGTGATCTTCTTTCACTTTTTTTGTTTCTGGAAGAAGCGCTAGCTGAAGAAATATTCATAGAACATGAAATGAAACTGATTTAAAAGGAGGGAGATAAAAAACTACTGCCTCCCTGCATTACCTTTTTATATAAACGTGCGAAGTAATTCTCTTTATCACATTAACTTTTGAACACCTGTCCCCAAAGAGGAAAAAGACAAGAAATCAAAGCTGACGCCACATAAGAAGCTGAGCAACAACGTTTAGGGCACTGCAGTTGTGAGGGAAGGTGGTGAAAACATATCATAAGAACAGCTGAGCTGCCTCCAGACCTTGTCCGTCTTCCCTGAGAGACTCGGCGATTCGGGAGACTTGGCGATTTGACAGATTGCACGGCGAGGAAATTATAGGTATCGATCTGGCTACTGCGGAGATTGAGCGACCTAGCGATTCGGGAGACTCGGCACTTACGGCGATTGCGCGCCAAAGGAGTGGAGGGGCATGGATCGGCGCAGTCAGGCATTGCTCACAGTCTGCGACCCAGCGCTTTTCTAGAAAGAAAAGCTTCGGCGAAAAGTTTCCGATACGTTTCGATTGGCGGTTGGAATCCGGCGGTTGGGTGAAACCGTTTTGATACGTATCGACGGGCGGTTCGGCGAAGCCGTTGGCTAGGCCGACCACCCTGGCGTTTTTCTCTAGGGCGGAGCCTGCGAAATCGATACGTATCTATTGCTTTTCGCCCAACCGCTGAAGCGCAACGGAATGGGCGGTCGGCGATTCTAAGCTCAGCATGTATTTATTTGTTTTTCGCCGAACCGCCGTTGCCTCACTAGCGACTGCAGAGATTCGGCGTCCAGCGATCTCAAACGCCATATCGCGCAGCTTCTCAAATAGCTGGTTCGCTCAATCTCTTCAATCGTCGATCGATACCTACACTTCACTCGCCAAATCGCCGAATCTCCCGGATTGATAACCTATCCAGTCGCAAGGTATGAACACGGCCTATGCGTCTCAGTAGAGCATCCGACGAAAAGGACTTACAGAATGAATTCAAAGAAGAATGAAGAATGAACTCACGAGCATGTTGACGCTTTCGATCACATCCAGGAAAACTTCATTCTTTCGATATTTGATGCCCTCCGACCTCCACGAAACAGCATTAGTAACGGCCATTGGAGGTCGCGGCGCAGCTTCGAGCTTGTGACCTTCTTGGGTTATGAATCTGAGAAAGAAGTGGAACAATGACAATCGCCACTTTTACCAGAAAAAAGCAGAGCCTGAAGCACAGAAAATAAGGACCACAGAAGCTCACTCTTGCAGGATTCTGCTTTCAGTGGTTTGTGGAAATCCAAAGTCCATCATTTCGTCAAGAAGTTCATAAATAACAACAAAGTTATCCCGCACTGACTCCTCTTCAACGTCTTTGAAGTATTCAGTGAAAACCTTGAAAGAATCAGAATTAGAATCCGAAATCCAGAAGTAACGTGGGCTATTTTGAATCACGTATACATCGAAAGAAGTTTATGGTGTACAGATAACAAAAGAAGACTTTCAAACCCTGCTACTGTGGCCGTTGTAAACAAGGTACAAAAACAAACATAAAGAACAAAGTAAAAAGAGACTAATAAATAAAAAGCGTAGATCAGAAGTCCTAACGAATTGCTGAGAAATTGGCGCGTATCAGTAAATTTAGCTTCCAAATAATGCGCTTTGGGAATGCTCATGTTGGGTGGAGTCCCACAACCCAAAACTGAATGGGCGTGTCTGGGAGCACGGACTAGTCCAGCGGCAGCCGCGTTTCGACGCCTAAGGCCACTAGAAATTGGGATCTGATCTATGCCCCTGACACAAAGCATCACTTCGCCGTATTATGGACTCTACGCGACTTCGAATTTGTTCTACACCATCAATCTTCAAGACATTAGTGCCTAATGCCTAATGCTTTCATAAGACCTGCTGGGCGTTGTGTGCAATAGCAACTGGGTGTGGAGAGAACGCAATATCACAAGAACTGCGATGTTATAAAAATTTCCAGAAACATTAATGAAAAAGGCTCTCGCTAAAAAAATTTAATGGAAAAGGGAATGAAAGAACTGACGAGAAAGATTCACAAACACAAAGCAATCGCCATGTAATACCCTGGTCGAATTTCCAAAAACGTTACGCCAAAAACACATGAAAAAAGAAATAAAAAGCAAAATGCTGTTATAGTAAGATTCAGAGTTCCAGCTGGCAGAATACCCAAAACCTTTCGCACAAAGGGTCAGGTTCACCACACTCGAGCGACTATATTGAGGCAAAAATCCTCACCCGCCTAGTTCACAATTGCTTCATCACTCCTTCCAGCGCTAAGCCCCATTTTACTGGAATAATTTCATAACCATTCTTCTTCATAAGTTCTTCTTATTGCACGATTTTGGATGAGTGTCTTCGCGTCAAATTCCCATAATCTTTTTATCAATTCCTTATCCGTGTACCTTATTTCGTCAACCCTACCTTAGTGTGGAACGTCAGGGAAGAAAAAAACCATTAGTTTTCAAGTAGTTTAGTAGTAGTTCTACCCATGTTATCTGTTTCTTTCTCCATGACAGCAGAAAAAAAACAAAAAAATATAGAAAAGAACAAATAGAACAAAACGGGCCTAAAATAAAGAGAGCAAAACGGGCCTAACTCAATTATAGAGAACACTAAAAAGAAAAAATGGAAAATCATATAAACGAGACTTGCCTCAACACACTTGAAAAGGAATGAGAGAACCAGCGCCACGTTAACATTTGTGCGGCAGGTTGAAACAACTGAAATCAAGATCTATTACAAGAAAAAAGGGAACAGAAAAAAAGAGGAAAAGAAAATTGTAATGGGAGATTTTGTTGACACTCTTGATGTTTTGTGGGTATGAAAGACTCAATAATAACATTCATGAAGGAGGCCATTGCTCAAAACAGTATGCCTGCTGCTTCCCACAACGTTGAAAATCTGATTCCCGAGCAGAAATTAAGTCCCTGAAGGTGGATTAACAAGTTAGGCGAACACTAGCCACGGCCACAACACTGGACAGGATTCCGGGACAAGTATGAGATGTGTAATTCGAAGCTCTGATGCGACCACTCTCTCTCGCTGCAGCCTCTCTGCAGCCCTTTCTCCTCTTACCTCCACTACTACTCGCTTTCTTTTCTTCTGCATGCATTTCTGTAGGAAGCAGATCAAGTGCTCACTGGAGTTCAAACTCAGTTCAAGTATATCTCCATTTCTTTGCATCAAATGTTCTGACGACTTCCGACTGATCAGTGAGGAGAACTGCACACACTCTTTCTCCTTTCTCCCGGAATAGCAGAGACAACCTCCCTTGGGATGCTATATACACTATGAATGCCAAGGTGCATAGTGCTGTTTGTGTCTCATAAGCGAGGAAGGAGAGATAACGCAAAAAAGGGTTCAATGATTTCTGCACCCTCATACACTCATTTCCTCAGAGTCACTGCTGCTACTGCATATAATAAAAAGATGCACTTCGGGTAGGTAGTAACAATCATTCCTCAGCCACTTCGACAGACGATCCAGCAGGAAGAGCAGGCCTAGAGGGGATCTACTTCGAACTTCTGTAAAGGTGGAGCGGTGGAGTAACTGCTGCTTACTTTGAACTGGCCGTTTGTTTTCTTTTTCTTCCATGGGACGCCCCCAAGGACCCCTTATATTTCACTGGACCATTGAAAAGTGAGAGAAATATTAGAAAGAAAGCCAAAAATAGGAGAGAACACATTCTTGCCTTCCGCTCTTTACTGATCAGCTGCCTTTTCCCTCTCTCCTGTCCAGCTATAAAAAGGAAAGAAAGGGCAGGAGTGAGAGATTTAAGTGACTGCACCGTCCTAGGCTACGTTCCTACTATTCGTCGGCATTTTGGGCGAAAAGTAAAGTATAGGTATTGGTCTAGCGTTCTCAGCGTTTCGAGCGCCGACCGATACCTAAGTGCTCTTTTTCGATGAAAACGACCAACGACAGATCGATACCTATACTTCCCTTTTCGTCCAAAACATTGAAAACACTCAGAACGCTCAAAACGCTCAGAGGGAGCTTCTTCTCAAGAGGCTAGATCGATATCTATACTTTCCATTTCGCCGAAAACGCCCAAAACGCCGACGAAAAGTATGAACGCATTTTGAGGGGTATCCTAGGCTGCACATGGAACTCGGACTGACAAATTTTTTAAAGCAATGACATGATCCATATAGTATGCAGTACTTACGATAGATGTTGTTGTGCTTGATGTAGACGAAAGTCGCATCCTGACTGGAAATCACTGGGCAAGCCAATCCGTCTTCTTCACGATCCATAAGCAAAGGGAGAAATCGATCGATAACACCCATATCGACATCTCCACGATAGTTACGGGATATAATAGTCTGAGTGAGATCGTGAAATATGAACAATTCAAAAAAAAGCGAAAGGTAGACAATGAAGGTTACCTTGCCCTTGAGATCGAGAATGAAAACAGCTGATGATGACATGACTTTGTTCGAAGTTGAAGTAGGCCCAGCGGAACTTATTGCATATTAATTGGAAATCTGAAAGTTCTTTATTGTGATTCTTTAGCTGAATTTTAACAAGCAAAACTGGCTCAAACAATGGAACGCTTTAGTTACTATATGGTAGTGATAAAAACAGTGACATAAGCACAATAGAAATGCCGTTAGGAGTGAAGACGTGACCCCAACAGTACACGAACCTAGACATCATGCCTAGAGCGCGTTCACACTTCGCGAACGAGCGATTGCGACCGGGAGCGCTCTATCGCCAATCGGTGAACCCCCAAGGAGTATCTCTGAGAACAAGACTGGAAGAGAAATATAGCAAAACATAAAACTTTAAGAAGTAGCACACTTTCCGGAACGTTTCGGAAAAGCAAGGCATGCGTGCACCATAAAGATACACGAAAAACGAAGCGGTGCACGAACGCCACCCAGCTGAATTCTGTCGTTACGGCAGTTCACCGATTGGCGATGGAGCGCGCCCGGTCGTCGAATCGCGCGACCCATTCGAGCAATCAGATCGCGCGAGTCAATCGAGCGATCGCGAAGTATGAACGCGCTCTTCAGGGGCCAGATGCTAATGTACTTTCGGATCACGAGATCCGGCGAAATACAGCAGTTATCATATCAAGTCTATGGGGAATTTATCTTATAATAATTGCCATTAACACCACTTTACAGTTTGCGCTCTAAGAGTTACAGGGAATGTTATCACAGGCCGAGCCCATACTTCGTAATGGAAGGATAAGTGAATCGGCGATCGAGCGTTTTGAGAGAACGTCCAGTCGTCGATTCTCCAACTCGCCTTCACAAATTATGGATGCAGTCTCGAGGAATTGCAACAGTAAAACTTTTTCAAAAAGAAGCGGAAGGCTAAGGCCGAATGACTGAATGGAGATGAAAATGCAGATCTTAACACTTCTGTAGGGATTCAAGACATTGGCTTTCGCTTGGTCGAAAACTCCTTAGTATAAGTCATTTCAGAAGCCCCGGTATCCTATGCTTTATTCACGATCCTAAATCGATCCTAAAGCTAAACCAGAAACCGGAAAACCTGTATGTTGTAATTTCAACGAAGTACGAGACACAACGCAAACGACGCCAGTGAAATCATTGGTGACGAATATGATGACAGAAAACTGGATGGCCACTGGCAAAGAATGGTTGGTGGAAGCCTCAAAAGAAAAGGAGATCTTGACGATCAGTCCCGAAAATTGAATGAAATAATAAAAGAAGGAAGATGAAGAAAGGATTCAAATTTCTACCATAGCGACCCCAGTCACTCCTTATGGAGATGAACCCTGGCTTTTACACTTCAAATTCAACACCTAGGGTTAGGCATAAAGCACAGACGACCACAGTCGCCGAGGGATAGTCCCGTAGAAGGAAGCTGTCGAATGGCCCCTCGTCTACGTTAGCGCCTGGTCCTGTACATTGTAGCCGACGTAGAGATTCATAAGCTGCGAAAAAAAAAACGCTTGATCCTTTGTGCGGTAATGCAAGCAAACAACCTTGCAGCAGAAGAGGGTTGGAGTCAAACTTGGGCAAATCGAGAAAGGAACAACCTGCGATGCTACCCAACGCGCTAGTGTAAGCGAGAGAGTGTGAAGGGCAATCGTCACTGGTCATATGTGGGGATATGCCATTGTCCAACGCTACCGTGGAAGCAGTATCAGAATGAAGCTGATCATTAATGACCTGACTGGTACCAAAGAAATGTATGAACATCCAAGGGTCACTCTACTGAAGATACAGTAGCAAAAAGGGGAACAAAGTTTGTCGCTCTTAGGCATTGTTCACAGTCTGCGACCCTGACGAAACGGCGGTTGGGCGAAAAGCAAAAAATACGGATTGATCGGAGAATCGCCAACCGCTCGTTTCGCCGAACCGCCGCGGTTGGGCGATGGGCGAAAAGCAATAGATGCGTATCGATTTCGCACGCTCCGCCCTACGCCCTGTAAAGAAGAACGCCAGGGTGGTCGGGCTAGCGTTTTTCGCCCAACCGCTTCGCCGAACCGCCCGTCGATACGTATCAAAACCGTTTCGCGCAACCGCCAGACTCTTCGCCCAACCGCCAATCGATACGTATCGAAAGCTTTTCGCCCGAGCGTTTCTTTCTAGAGAAACGCTGGGCCGCAGACTGTGAACAATGCCTCACGCCCTTCAACGTTTCAGACTGGTCAAGTGGAAAGTTCTCAAGAAGTCTCCGCAAAAATTGCCCGCTCTGTTGCCTAGAAAGTATTAACTGCTCATTGGTAATGGAACAGATGGTGAGTTGGGTTTGAAGTGGTTCCGAATTTCAAAAAAGGTGTAACGGGCTTGAGAGAATTCAATTCAAAATTAAAATGGCATGTATGATCCGAAAGGGAATGCTTCGATTGTGTTTTTGTAAGAATAAAATTGTTTCACTGGGAAATCAGGTTGTTACATCCACATACACACGCACACATACACACAGAAGGAAGGGCAGAACCCTTCAAGATAACCGATGAAAGCAGCGGCCTGAGAAGAGTTTGCGGTATGAATGAACAACAAAATTTGGAAGCCTGGCGAAGCCTTACCAAAACAAATTCTTCCCGAAAAACTCATACGAAAATTCTTTCTTTATAAGGATAAGAAAACGATGAGATGATGAGCGAATTTCCGGCCAGGATCGATGGTTTTACCCCTAGTTTACACAATAGATAGAGAAAACGTCTGCGAATTGCAGCAGTCTTGGTGAGAAACAGAGACGTAGGCAGCAAAAGCTTTCGTTGCAAAGGTGCACGGTTTGTTGCTACATCAACTGGCATGTCGTTGGATTAAAATAGATTTGCGATGATTTTCATCCTGTGAAGAATTCATTTCGAACCTTCATAGCACCGAACACCATCTGGATACCTGCCCACCGTGTGGACATCCAGGTTCTGGAAAAAAATCGGAGCCACTGCGCACATATACAAGCGACTCCAGTATGCAATTCCACGTCAATTTTGTCTCAATGCTAGAATGACCTGCATGGGGAGCTCCACACATGTTCCAATTTCTCACAAATAACGAAGGGATCACACAGGGCTTTCCCACCTTCAAGAATCGCACCGTACTCTTGCGCTGACGCAAAATTGCAGAATAGCTCCGCTTGTCCCCTTGTACGCATTTGCGCGGGACTTCACTACTAGAAAGGCACTACATTTGATTGAGCTATCGTCTGGAACCCGTAACGCTTAAACATAAAGAACCAGGGTTGGAGATAGTGACGCAGAAAGGTATGCCACGTGTCCGTAATTGCGGACATATTAC